CCCCAAAACCCCAAAACCCCAAAACCCCATGATTATAAATTGAAGTAAGAATTGGAAAATTATAATTCATTATTATTTTTAATGCATAAAAAGAAGCAATCATTTTTCAGTGGAGTTTCTCATTACTTACCAGGCTCAATTGGTGATACTCAGGACTACTGCAAACATAGAAACTTTGGCAATCAGTACCTTGATGGCTACCTTGATGACTCTCTTGATTTCAATGTCACTGAGGATGTATGCATGAATCCAGAACTAAGCTACATTTCGAAATCTAAATAGAGCAATGGAAATCAATCATTGGAGCAAAAAAACACTAAGAATTATGTGACTAATTGCAACTCTTAGAATTGCTCTAATAACAGCTATGAGCATTAAAGTGATGTGAATAAGTCATTCTACCCAAAGTAAAAGTAGTCAAAACTATTTCATAGATAGAGCAACACAAATTCTTATCCTGAGGATAACAAATATGAACCAGATATTAATTTGAGTCAGAGGGGTAGAGATCAGTAGTATTTTCAATGTCACCAAACCTCTCAGAAATAGTCAGTTTAGTGGAAGGGCAATAATTAGTATCTTGAAAAGATTATCTCTTAGTCATCCTAAGGATTCTCAGCTAGTAAGCTAGAAGCTTCTCTGAAGAAGAGTGTAAGTATATTTAAGATAGATTTAATTATGTAGATGAATATAAGAGATTAAGATGTGCATAAATACTCTTTATTATGTATAACTATCCACGGATTAGAGGGTATTTCTGACTACAGAGTCAATAACTTTTGCATATACTCTCTTGATACTTAGGATTTAGTCAACCATTTTTCGAAGTTTGGTACTGTCTAAAGAGCATTTGTTCTTCCCTATCCAAACTCAAGCATTGGATTTGTTTAAATGAGTTCAATTGTAGAGGCTTACCTTGCTTTAAGATACTTTGATCATAAAATCTTCATTGATACTTAAGCTATTCTAAAAGTCAAGTTTGTCAGGGGAAAGAACTTTGATTAAACTGATGAGAATAGGCTGCAAGAAGTAAAAGATAGACTCATCAAGAGTGGTAATAAAGCATTACAGAATGAAATAAACTATCAAGACTAGCAAAGCAAGCAGTATAGAGTCATTGGGACTTTTTCTACATTACCTTAATACTGTTAATCTTATTCAAGATCAAAATATATGAATGAGACTATCTTGACTCAAGCCTAGATGGAAGCTAATCCTGAAATTAAGAAAGACTACTAAAATTTCTTAAATATCTATCAGCCTCATGTTAACTTTAAGGCTAGGAACGATTACCCTTATCAGTGCTGGTTTTTTATCTAATTAAATGATTAATCCCCTGACTAAGAGCATGCACTAACACCAGAGAAGATGACAAAAATATTTTAAACTCTAAATTTCTAAGAAAACGAAGATACATTTTCTAGGCTACTTGTAGGATCTAAGGTAATTTACATTTTCTGATTTTATATAAAGGGTTCAAACATTAATCAAGTTTTTGAGGAGACCAACTGCCAATCGAATGGTGATTAGCTAAAGATATCTTTTAAGAATAAGTATCTTTAGTAAAATAGTAGAAACAATGAATAAAATAATGGACCATTATTCGGAGTAATTAGCTGCAAGTCAAAGTAGATCTTCAATCAGGCTATTTAATCTGCTTTTACCCTTATTAAAAAAACTTATGTCGTAAGAGATAGTCTATTTTCACATTATCTATAGAACTATAACAAGAAGTGTTTAGTCAGAGAAAAGAATCCTCTTCTTGGTAGAGTGTTTTTAAAAGCTTTTTTAAGTCCCAAGACTATTGAGAAGATCAGATCAGATTATGATTTAACTACTAGGAAAATAAGTCAGGTAATTTAGAGTGGGAATAAGATAAAAATGCCAATGAATCCTCAATCAAGAAATCAAATCAACAGATTTTAGGGTTATGACATGAATCCTAATGATGCCTATACTTAAATGTTTCCTTACCAAAGCTACCCTCCTCTCAGTTATGATTACAATCCTAATGCCATGTTTGAAAACAGTTATATACAAAATCTTGGTACTGAAAATTAAGGTAGTAACGAGGATTACTATTTTTATGACAGATATGATGACTATGAAACTACTACATACAGTATGAAAAACCCTCCCAACAACATTAGATCTCCCTAGCAGTCTTCATTTCATCAATAATTCTAAAATTAAGTATATTTCAACAATGACACTACTCAAAGCTAGAGCTCTTAAAAGCATAGTACTAAAAAGTTCAACATTAACTAAAAGGCACATTATTGATAGAGATTTGAAGAAGTTTGATAAAATTGCTTTTGAATGATTATTAATGATATATGAAAAATTATAACATAAAGTATTAAATGTTTTACCATTTTATTAAAAAAGAATTAGAAAATTAACAAAAATATTTATATAAAAGTCTTATCATAAACTTAATTAACTCTTTATCAAAGGATACTGAGATCTTGCTTTAAATCTTTCTTACTATTTTATTCGAGATATATATTCATACAATCAAACTCTCATTTAAATTCTATTCATTCTAATGAAACTCAAAGTCATTAAAATGATAGATAAAGCTATCTTAGTCTGGATCTCTTTCTCTTTTAATGTATTTCATATTGTCAAAATTATCTAATTCTAGTAATTAAGTCCGAGTATATGGTACCTAAACATTTTAATCCAGACTTCCAATATGATTTTAAAAAGGACTTTAATACCCCTATTCTAATTTGAATGCATAATTTTGCTTATGAAATTCCTTAAAAACCTTATTTTCCTTTTTAATGCTTTTTTTAATTATTCGTTTCCTTGCTATCAATTTATTATGACTTGTTAGATCATACTACTAGTTGGTTTAATTATAGTTCATAAACTTTAATCGAAAAGAGTCAAAAATTTCCTTGTAATTCTCAATTTAGATTTCATTTTGTATATTAAATTTAGACTTCTCAAAATCAGTTAATTTGTCAGTTGCTTCATTTTGAATATTTTACCAAGGTTGTAATGGTATCTACAACTATCATTTTGTTACTAATGGAGGACTATAGGTGATTTAGTTGGAAGTATTTGCTTATTACTTTTAACTTATTTGCTATTCCTGTTTCTGATAATTAGCATCTTCATCCTACAGGGAGTTATTAGTGCTTACATTTCGCATGTTATTGTTAAAGCCATCGTATATTCGGTAATTTTTAAATCCTTATTAAATATTATTGAAGCTTTCAGACTAACTTCATTAGTCTTGATTAATATTGAAATTTGGTGACTCTTTTCCATACGCTTAATTTGCTTTTATCAAGCAAATACTCTCCTCATTTAGCTTTTACTTACCAGAAGTTTCGAAGAAACCGTGAGAACCTTACTCCTAAAAATCTTTATTAAGTTTAAAATTTCTTTTTTGCTCAATCTTTATCTTGTTTTACAACTTAATGCTTGTTTACTATTGCATATAATTTTTCTTGATTAGCTATTTTTATTGCTACATACTTTCAGTACAAAAGATGCTTTTTAGGTTATTTTAAGAATTCTTAATCAGCAAGAGATTGTTTAATTCCTATTAAGCTCACAGTATTTTTAGTTTTACTTTTCTCTTGCTGAAATCCAGCAGATTTTATACAAACTGAACATCTTTATCTTGTTCTAGTCCTACTAAATTTGGATTTTTCATTATTGTCTTAATATAATCTTGTTAGATTTTTAGTATCTTTTTTATTTGAAATAATATTAATTATCTTTATCTCACCCATAATTAATAATTTCCTGTAACGGGGTTTTGGGGTTTTGGGGTTTTGGGG